GCCTACAATTCAGCGGTTATTATAAGTCTCCAATTTCTTCAATTCCTCCTTCTAAATCTACAGGTAATATATCATTTCTTTTGCTATGTTCTCTTTAAGGTATAAAAAGAAATACAAAATATACAAAGTGAGCTTATAGATACAAATCATTAGCATATCAATCTCTCTTTACAATCCACTTCTTCAACTCAAATTAGATTATCAAAATAAATTAAGAATAGACAAAATGCAAATGAAAATAATTAATAAATTATTTATATATGTTAGTTGTTTGCACTAAAAAGGACATCATTCAATGGATGATAGCTTTTTTTAGATAAAAAAAAAAATGAATGATAGATTTTTAAATTAAATACTTTCTTTTTTTTTAGTAATTCTAGTTTAATTTTTTGACTTTTCTATGTAAAGTCAGAAATTTTATTTTAGAGCTTTTTTATAATACTTTTATAAACAATACTTAATATTTAATAGTTAATATAATTATAAAATTATATATTCAAACCCAACTCTATTTAATTTAATTACATCACAATTTATAACACTTCATTTAAGTCTAACTCTTGTTTATTTAAAAATTATATAAAATATTAAAAATTCATTTTCTCATTATGAGCTATTCCCGCAAAACTTTTAAAAAATTATCATATAAAATTTCAAAAATTTTAATTATTCTGAAGTAATATATATTATGTATTTTAAAAATTACATATTATAAAATATTATATAATTTTTAATTAATAATTAATAAAATTTATCATATGTCATCTATAATATTTTTGAAAAATAAATAATTAAAAATTAAAATAACTTTTAACAATAATCACAATATAATTCAATACAACTATAGTACCTCAGTACAATTTCGAACGGAACACCCACCCTTCCCCGTCTTCTCCGCATGTTCTGCCAATTTGTTACAAACTCCAACCATGTAAGTATCCATATTTGACTTCATTATTATTTTTGGGAGGTTTTTATGTAGAAATTTGGTTTTGGGTTTGGGGTACGTATGGCTCACTGAAATTGAGCCTCCAAGTAAACTAACAAAATCGTGGCTAATGCCTGTATTTGGAACATTTATATTTCTTTATTCATTTGATTATTCTTTTTTGATAAATTATAAGTGATAACTGTTGATTTTGCTGCCTTTATTTTTTTTTATTATTATCTATATTTTGACACTTTAAAATTAATATTATTCACCCACAATAATAATATAATATGCATTTCAGCTTCTTTAAGCTAAAAGTTTCACAACTGCCTTTCAAAATGTTTGCCTCTTGCGGTGCTTCTTGTTACTTGCTAATAAAGAAAATTCTACGGAGGTGTTTTGAAATGCTTTTATTGACTGCTATCCGAATTTCATGTACATTCCTTAACGTATAATTTCCTTGTACCATTGTCGTGTTATTTTTTTTTATTAATTTTTAATATTCGATAATTATATTGAATCTAACTGATTCAAAATCCAGTTACATCGAACCATGTAAAAAAAACTCTCTTAATGCTTATTTTTCTATTTACAAAACTTAAATTCAAAATTTTATTTAAAGGAACTAAGTTTTTTTCACTCAAACCAACAAATCATTAGTACCATTGCCATGTTAATGCTTCCAAAGGAACTCAATCTAAAAATGTAAGCTAAACTCAACCCTTTCATCATCAAATACCTGAGAGAGTTCTAACTGTAAAACAAAAAGTGATGGGTACAGCCCAAGGTTAGTAGCACTTGCATACGATAATTTTAGTTTTGTAATGTGTACTTTTTACATTATATCTTTTTGTTATATAAATTACTATAAATTTTTCAAACAAAAGAGGGAAAATCTAACTACTCACAATAAAAATTCGCAAACCAAGAAGCAAATTGTGACGATTCTGAAAAGAAATTATTGATAAATAGGTAAATCTAAGCAATTTAAAACAAGAAAATTTTTATTAAGAAAATAATTTCTGCAATGTAACCTCCAACACTGGAGTGAAAAGCAATGGGAGTTTCCACAAAATCGTGAAGTTTAAAGATTTTCAAAACAAATGTCAAGACAATGACAAAATCGTACGTCGCTGTCAAGAGATCGCTCATCCGTCCGTCGACGTCGAGGAAGGAAAGGAGGAAGAGGAATCATCAGGGGTAGAGTCTTTTCGTTGGACTGGCCCACGGAAGTGGCCCAATATTTTCAGGCTTTAGCCCGAGATGTTAATTACAGGCTAGGTATCCAACTAGGACACGGGCTACAAAAACCCAGATACAATGAATTCCAAGCAAAACCCTATATTAAGCTCTTGAACTTATCCCAGATTCTTCATTAAGCCCCTAAACTTTTATTGAAGCAAATAAATCCTTAAATGCATTGATTGGGTCAGATCAATAACCACTTTCACACTGTGCACTTTGCATCTAATAAATGCATTGCAAACGATATACCCAAAAGCATTGAATTTGCTTAATCAGACCCATAGACACTTAAACAGAGTCTCTGAACACACAGCTTTAATACATTCACACTTCCATTCCATACCCAACAATGCCGGTGGCAAAGACACTGATTTGAGAATTTCAGGAGTAAAATAAGAAGCTAAAACACCTAGAAATCACTAAAACTAATTTTTCGAACAATAATTAATATCAACATCTGGTTCAATTGATAACAACAAAAATAAAACAGAAACATCAACACTAATTTGCCTAAGACTATGTTTGGATAAAAATTAATATAGGAAAGGAAGGGGAGGGGAGGGGAGGGGAGGAGAAGGAAAGGATTGATATTAATTTTGTTTGAATAAATAAAATGAAAAAAGAGAAAGATAATATTTTTATTTAGTTAAATAATTTGATAAAAATAAAATAAAATAATAAAAATTTTAAAATTTATTAATTAAATAAATAATTAAAATAAAATATTTATATATATTTATTCTTAAAAATTAAAAATAAAAATAAATTAAATAATATAATCCATTTTAATTTTTTTAAATTAGAAGAATTAAAGACAGAGGAAGGGAGGGACCCTATCTCCCTCTCCTGCATTCAAATTATCTATCTAAAGAGGGAAAGGTGTTCTTTTCCCTTTATTCTCTTTTTCTTTTCCTCCAACTTCCTCGATTCGGGCAGAGAGCGTAAATTTTAAAGCAAAAATCAAGGGAAAGAAAAAAAAAAAGGAAAAAAAAAAAGAGAGGAAGTGATCCCCATTTCAAACTCACCGGCAACGAGCGAACTGAAGAGGTTGGCTGTGCTCGGAAGATATGATCACATCAAGGGGCGGAATCGGACCATTGAAAAATTGATCTGATGAGCGGGAAAATGAAACGATTCGATAATGTGATCGGAAGACGGAGGGAATTGTGGGTTCAAGGTTAGGATTGTGGGGATTCCGGTTGTCGTCGTCGTCGTCGTTGACGGGGATTGTGAGGAGATGGAGCGAACAAGAAGAGTTTTCAGATTTTCATTTACTCCGAAGTCCGAACAAGTTCCAACGGTTTAAGTTCGGCGCATTAGATTCAGATTAATGAGCTGGGCTGGGCCTCGCTTTATGAGCCATGTCCCGCTATTTCCAACCCATCAAGATGTCTTAAAAGGGTTATAACTTTCCGTAAATTCTTTAATTTCAATTACCATCAGCCTCTATGCTCTTGTTATGTGGTCTTATTTTCATGGTGGAATTTCACTATTTCACAACAACAAATTGCTATATAAAGAAGAGTAATGATAGAGAAGATGAAAATTTAGGATGAAAATTTGAGATTAATAATGTAATTTATGTCATAAGTTCCTTTAAAATAAAAGAATTAATTATTAAATATTATAAAATTTATTTTTTTAATATTTTAGATGATATGGTTTATACACGTTATTAATTCTAAATTTTGATTCTCAATTTTAGTTGTATTTATCATTATTCATATAAATAATTATAAAAAGTGAAAATCAAAATGTGTAGTTTAATTACTTTTAAATTATCCAAATTATTTATAAAAGTATTTTTAATAAATTCTTTTACATATTAATTTATTAAAAACATTTAAATTATTATTATTATTTTAATAGTTTAATTATAAAGAAGATCTTAATTTTTAACTGGACAATGATAAAAACTAAATTTTTTGTATAATGTTTTATATAACTTTCACATATCTTGTTGACTCAATGTACTCCAAGAGGGGGGGTGAATTGGAGTTCCAAAAATTCTTCCTTTTTTACAACCACAAAACCAAAATTAAAGAGAGTAGAGAAGAAGAGCTTGCTCAATGATTTATAGAGGTTCGGTCCAACCACTTAGAGCCTAGTCCTCTACTTTGGCTTCAATCACCAAGGATTTCCTCCACACTCTCCACTAACAACAACAAGAGTGGCTTAAATGAGCCACTCAATCCTTTTACAAGAATAAGGGTGTTTCTCTCAAATCTCACCCCTTTACAAGATAAACCCCAAAGATCCTCTCTACAGATCACTCTTGAAGGAATCAACACACCCCCAAGATTACTCACTAATAGCACAAGAAGAGGATTACAAACAAAAATCTCTCAAAGATCAAAATCTCTAGTTAAACCACAAGTTGGTGGGTAAAGATATTCAATATAATGTTCTCCAAACTTCTTCAAATCTGTTACAAACCATATTTATAGCCCCTTGCTCGAAAATAGCCGTTTCTAACCGTTGGGGGTCATTAAATACTCTGCAAGACACAAAGCTCGAGCTGCAGGATTGTCAGGAGAGCCGGCTTGGCTTTCTGCAGAGCCGGCTTACACTTCCAGAGCCAGCTATCCGGGTTTGCAAGCCAATCTGTTTTCCTTGAGAGCCGGCTGCAAAACTTTGAGCCGGCTTTGGAACTCCGACTTTAAATACATTAAATATTCTTCAAATAAGTCGACCGTTGTACATTAAATGCGCCCTCATAGCCCACTACAAAGCTGGAGCCGGTTTTGCGTCTTTTCTCCACGCGCGCCAAGCAACGGTCTTCAAATTTTTGCCTGTAAAGCCGGCTGCAGCTTCCAAAGCTGGCTCTCTACACTTCTTTCACCAGAGCCGGCTGCAGCTTTTAGGAGCCGGCTCTCTGCACATTGAAAGATTGTTTTCAGTTCAATAATTCTTATTTTCGGGAGCTAGAAAAAGAGACTCTTATAAAATTCGAGGCCTAATTCAATTATTAGTTTATTAATTATCAGTTTAATTTTATTTTAATCTAAAAAGTTTATTTTCTTTTTAAATGATCTATAAACTTTAAAGAATATTTCAAAATAATTTACCGTACAAAATTTTTGTTAGATTTAACAGAAAAATGTAGTCTTTTAAATTTTGAAAAAGTAACACTATAATCCTAATAAAATATGATAACTTAAGAAATATTTTATGAAGATAAATTAGTTAAAATTTGTAATAAACTTGAGCAACTAGCTCAATTCAAATTGAAAAACTTAATAAGTTTAAAATAAGAAGTTTCAAGAGTAAGTTTGTTTTATAAGGTAAACTGTATGCAATTTATCTTGTAAAATTATTTAAATGTCTTTAAAAAATAATATAAAATTAAAATTAAAATTAAAGATATTTAAATAATTTTACAAGATAAACTGTATATAGTTTGTTCTATGAAATAGTTTTCTAATGAAAATATTTAAAAGATTAAAATAAAAACTATTTTTACAATGAATATAAATTTAAGGACTAAAAGATAAAAAAATATAATTAGAGAACTAAATATTTTTTTAAAGGATAAGAAGATTTTCGTTTAAAATCACATATTAGATAAAATTAAAATGAATATGAAA